ATTCTATCTCTCATACCTTATAAATGAGCCCAAAATGAACAAGTCAATTTAAATAAAAAGTTAAACCTGTAAAATGCAGAAAAATAAACAAATAAAGTTGAAAATTCCAGGTGCACACCTTCATATGGTGAATAATAAGTGTGCAAATTTTCAGATCAATCCTTGCAATAGTTTGTGAGAAATGGTCTGCACAAGACCACAAAATTAAAATGAAAAAACACCTGTAAAATTCAAAACAATCATCCAATCAAGATGAAAATAGCAGGTGCACACCTTCATATGGTGAATAATATGTGTACAAATTTTCAGGCAAATCCTTCCACTAGTTTTTGAGAAATCATCCGGACAAAATCTCGTCTACAGACAGACAGACGGACAGACAGACAGACGGACAGACGGACATGGTGATTCCAATATACCCCCCCTAAACTTCGTTTGCGGGGGGTATAAAAATGTATACTAATTATACTTTTATTAACTGTCCTCAGATATACAATACGTTAACTTGTGATATATATATTATAAGAGATATTTAATACTTTTGCTTTCAATTTTTTATCCAGTGTGTGCTGACAATTTGTCCAATATCACCTTTAGAAAAAATCTCAGTATATATGATACCAATATTTACATGAGTAAAACAGGGAAAAAGTTATTGGATTACGGCATTCATGTGTTTTGAAAAACAAGAGGCCCATGGGCCACATCGAGGATCATCGATGATTTGAACAATTTAGAATCTACACTACTCCAGGATCCTTCCACATAAGTTTCAGCTTTTCTGGCCCAGTGGTTCTTGAGAAGAAGATTTTTTAATGACCAAACCCTACTTTTGTCTTTTCGTGAAAATTAAATCCTCCTGTGAGGGGATTTGGGCCTTCATTTTAACAATTTAAATTACCCATCACTCAAGGATGCTTTGTAGTAAGTTTGGTCAAACAGACAGACAGACGGACAGACGATGGAAAAAATGTAATCAGAAAAGCTCAATTGAGCCTTCGGCTAAGGTGAGATAAAACATGATTTACTGTTATTGATTAAAATACAGTAATGTGTTCTGAAAAAAATTGATTTCCAGTAGTAAAGCAATTTAAACTCAATGTCTGTAGAAAACCCTGAAATGTGTTCTGCTCTCAATCAATTGTTACATTAATATTTCGAGAATTCCTACCTCTGTCTGTCTGGTGCATTGCCCTAAACTCTGCCTGGGTGTCCGGGAGAAAGGTCTCAGGGGGGGAGGCTGCAGGGGACTGAAGCCAAACATGCTTCCTAGGCTCCTCAAAGAACATCAGAGGGGCCTCTTCCATACGCTAAAATAGTATAAAAACATTTTATAGGGCTTCATTTATTTCAATGTATATATTTTATATATATTAAGACATATATTTGAACATAATTAGGTAAACATGATTTTATGATTTTTTTTTCTTAATAAATATTCCTTAGGGTAAAATTTTAACTTTCCATTGTGGCCGCACCCTATCACAGAAGGTCTTGAATTTACACTACCTAAGGATGCTTCTATATAAATAATGACTAATTATGGCTTTGTTGTGTTTGGGAGGAAGACTTTTTAAAGATTTTCCAAACATATTTCTTTGTTAAACATGTAAAACTTTGATTGTCCATTTTGAATCTTTAACACTACCTTAGATCTTTCCTCAGAAGTTTCAACTTTTTTGGCACATTATATCTTAATTGAGAAGAACCCTGATTTTTAAAACATGCCAACAAAATTTCACTATTTCTGAATTAACCCCCCCCCCCCCCCCCCCCCCCCCCCCGAAAAAGAGTGTGGCCCTTTCGCAGCATTGTTAACGCAAGTGAGTTAAGGCTAAATATGGATATTTCTATGCAAATGAGCTAATAAAATTCATAAGTTCTATATTTCATGTACAGAGAAAGTTCAAATTGATTTTCATATACATACTTAGTACCCACAGTTTGTTAATGCAAGTGCACATTATGACGTCATATAATGACCTCATTGTTCTCTCCCATTCAAGGTTATAAATCACAAGATTAGCATATCCACTGCTCTCTCGCACTATGAACATGCAGCCATCAACTGCGTTCATAGGTTCATAGGACTATAGACGCATTTGCTCTATCTCACTCTTGTAGAACAAGCTCTACTACAGTTATTTACCGTGTTGAGAAGTATATATATGAAATGTTTCGTAAAAGGACTAAATATAAGTTTTTGATAATATTTTTTGGAAAAAAAGGAATTCAGAACAATTTAAAATTGCTGTGTATAATCTTTAAAAATTTAATTTTGGTCAATGTATTTAATTGTAATTTAAAACTTTTTAAAAATTGAATAGAAATCCATATTTTTATTTTTTTGTATCATGCATACTTGTACAAAGAACGATAACTCTTCACACTTGGGTAATACTGTGAAATCACAAATTTTCGTGGGGGTTTAATTTTCGTTGTTTTCGTGGTATGGTGAGACCCACGAATTCATGTCCACAATGAAATGTAAAAAGTCACACACATAAGTACTCACTCATTCTTGATCCACGAAATCAAATCCCCACGAACCAAGAGATTTTCCTCAAACCACCAAAATTTGACCCCACGAAAATATGTGATTTTACAGTAACATACAGAAAGAGAAAATCTCTTTAACTAGTAGATCTATATCTATTTCAAGAAAAAAAAATAGAAAAAATACCAAAAAAATCACAGAAAAGCATACTAGAGTAATAATCATTATAAAATCATTCTCATTTTTATCATAGTTTTAAATAATTGATTTTTGTCAGAGGATTTCAATAACGTTGATCGATGACGTCCGACTGCATCAAAACAAAAATTAAGAGAATGTGATGACGGCGCTGCTTGTATCCAGATAACTGTGTTAGAGAGGGAAATACTTTTATAATTATGATTTATTAGAGAAAAGGAGTACTGATCAGGTGTACTGATTTTAAAGCCATATGTTTTTCTTTACTGAAGACAGAAGAAGCTACGTCCTTATGTAAGTCAGGATTTCCTCTGATATTCTTGACAACATCAAAAAATGCAAATATAAGTAATAAACAACGATTATTTAGTGAACAAGGCGTGATGAATAGCAATAGCTCTGCTGGCATATTTTCCATGATGCACTAGCGCGCATCATGGAATATGCCAGCAGAGCAATTGCTATTCATAACGCCATGTTCACTATATTAATAACGTTGTTTATTTCTTAATTAACAAAATCACGTTGACGCAAAGGCATATCCTATCTAATCTAAAATAAACTATGTACCGGGTAAGTGTTAATTTCAAAAAATCTCACCGGAGTGCTTTTGAATTTGACATAATTTATTCTCATAAAAATATAAACTATTTTTGTACACGGGGCACAAGCTGTGTTAGACTGTTAATGTTTACCTCCGTCTCTTCTCTCAGTAGCCGCAGCTCCTCCTCGGCCGCCCGCAAGCTCTCATCTATCAAACGAAGCCTCTCCTCATCCCTACAATCACAAGTCCAGGATCAAACTCTGTCATTGTTTTATTTCTCATGTTGCTTGTGGGCAAATTTGAAATAAGGCAATTTGATAAATAAAAGTTCTTTTGGTTGTTTATTTCTGTTTAGAGAGAAATTTTTGCCCCTTTCACCTAATCCTCACATATTGGTAATTATAAACAGTTCCAAGAGTGAAAGGCAAAAAATGGATTACTCTACACTTCATATTTTAATTTTAATATTTGAGCCAGATTTGAAAGGAGTTTAAGACAGACGGATAGACATGAATAAATAACATGATAATTGCCCATGCAGTTCTCACACAGTAATATCATTTCTTGTTTAAGACAGGCATAGAATTATGTACATGATACTCATCTTTCTGCTAAAAATTAACACAGTTATGCTGAATTTCCATAAACTTTATTAAACCATTAACCTGGTCATTCCTTTGCTAAAATTGCAGCATCTGAAACCTTAATTGACTGGTACAATTAAACACATTAATGGAAAGAACTTATACAGGCTGTTGGCCTGCTGTTCATGTCTAATGACTATAGGACACAGAAGTACTTAAAAAGAAAACTGCTCCAAAAACTTAACCTTAACCTGGGACGTGGACACCGATGCCGAGGGTATCTCATAAGCTCCCCCAACTTCGTTGAAGTGAGAAAAAAATTGATTACTGCTTCATATTTAAGTTATGAGCCAGATATGATAAGAGTTAACAGAGAGACAAACAGATGGACATGAACACCATAACATTATATGTCCAGTCTTAAGACATATTATTTCCTGTCTAAAGACAAAGGTACCTGACACTCATCTATCTGCTAAAAATCACCTGACACAATTACACAGATTTTAAATGAACTTTCAAAATACCAATTTCTAAATCATACGTATATATTTAAGGAATTACTGTTTAGTTATTAGTTATAATACTAGTAAGCCAGAGCATCAACGATAGTGGGAAACATGAGATGAGCCTGTTATGCAATCAATTATCACAAGTTTCACACATCATTGACATCCCTGGCATTCTATACTAACTATTTAGACAGTGAATCCTTATATTTCCATTTCATTGTGATATCAAATTGTAGATTTAGATTTTAAAAATGTAGACAATAGATTTAGATTTCTCCCATGTAAATTTCAATTATATAGTCCTCATCCACTAGCGTCAAACATAAAGACAGCCGCACGAGATTTACATGCATATGTGACCTCCTTAACATCTGAGACACAAACACAGATGCGCACAAGATTCACCTGTGTATTAGGCCTCCTTGGTTCCTTACCAATCGATTTGTCTAAGTTACATTACAGTAGAATTATCAAGAGATCAACTCCATTAACTAAGAGTTAATTTTCAAAGATAAAACAAATAGAAATGGAAATATTCACAAACTGACAGCTAATTGAACACCGTACCAAACCTTTTTTCAAATACATATCTCTTAAAAAGAAATTAAAAATCCAGTTTTTATTCAATCAATATGTGAACCTATTACAAAGTTTTTACTTACAGTCGTCCCTCTTCCATCAGTTCCTCAAACAGCTGGTCCTCCTCAGACGGGCTCCTCCTCCTCGAAGGAATACTGAAAAACAGATAACAGTACAACCTCATTATCACACACACCAATATCTCAGATACAATGGATATGTCAAGGTGATGGCCTCCTCCTCCTCTATGGAATACTGAAAAACAGACAACAGTACAACCTCATTATCTCACACACCAATATCTCAAATACAATGGATATGTCAAGGTGATGGGCTCCTCCTCCTCAGTATGGGCAACAGTTGTGAAGAAAATGAACGGAAACTAAATGGACTGACAGACTGACGGACAGCAGCAAAGCAATATACCCTCCCTTTTTCAAAGGGGGAGCATAAATTTGAAGCACCTACATTTTCATGTCAGTTTATAATCAAGTTATGCATATACAATGCTTTCATGACTTTGCTGTTAGATAGAAAAACTGGCTCTTTTGCTCAGAGAAAGAATCCTAATAGAAGCATACTGCCTGTCATACCATCGGACACTTTTAAGGAAATACTGATAATTTCTCATGCACTACCAGGGGTTTTGAACAGATATCAAATTATGAAAATTTCTGCATAACATTCAAAGAGAAATGAAAAAAAAATAACAAAACATAAATTCCCAATTTTTTCCTGTCAAAATTTATTTAAAGAGGTGTATAAATCCATATATGAGGGGTGATCAAACCATTCGCAAACTAATTGAATAACTTTCATAAAAGAAACAATATTTGGTTTCAGTGTTGATTATATACCTCTCTCACATAGGCCACCGTACTGCTCATGGGCGAATCAAGTGATATAGGCGGTCACATGACCTGCTCCATAGCATTTTGTCACAAATGTTGAAAGATTCTTCTTAGTTTTATATTTCTTACATGTACCATGAAAGTTAGGCCATACCAATTTGTAAAATAGTTCTTCGGATATTAATTTATCATATGTACTAGGAACACGTGCTTTTGTTTATTATGTGCTAATAATAGCGACAGTAGCTATTGGTCAGTATTTAGAGGTCGATACCTGTAGAACGGGTGAACAGGTATTCACTTTAATCACGATTTTAACTCATTCGAAGGCTTTGCTTTGCGACATTCAGGCGTATACTTCCTAATGACAAAAATTGTAAGGAGACAGGCCCATCCCTGTTTGGAAAGTCGATCCTACAACCAGTCTACAAATTTTATATGGCATTGCATTTGACAAAGACAGCTATTCTCTTCAAACATTCAGTTTACCATCGAAAATACAGAGACGGTTCATTAAACACAGTTCTCGTGGTGAAGTATCCAGAATAGCGCATGCAGACCGAGAATCCTCAAACCTTAGATACGTACATGTATGCCTGAAATTATGCTTTTCACGGCTCAATAAAAGACGAGAAGTCCAGCATTCGTTACATCAACGGTCAAAGGAGATTTCACAGTCATAAACAGAGTAAAAAAGTGCCATTGAAACAGAAGATAAGTTTTAAAAATAATGTTTTCAGTTTTTGGTGATAATTAAGGTTCAAGTTCAAGAACGCGGCATTAATTTATCCCCCGTTTATTATTGTAAAATTAAAAGTACATAATGAAAGTAAACACAGACAAGATACCTTTTCGATAAGTTATTTCACCTATGTCTATCTTCTTAGAATTTTCCACTGCTCATCGGAAGACAAAGGTCCAGAATCGCCTGAACAGTTTAACAGATTTTACATCCATAAACAGAGAGTACATAATGGTCATTGAAGTAAAAGATAAGTATTTTCGATAATACTTAAGTTATTTATAATTAAAACGTTTTGAATACAATTGAATTCAATTCACTTTATTACGTAAGACATACATTTTATTGTATACAATATAAATTTATAACTTGTAAACAGTAAAGCATAGCACAGGTATTTTTTCTTTTTAACAGTCAGCATAATAATTATACTATCAGTATCATGATGATGGAGAATATACAAACCATTTTTTAATTGTTTATAGGGCAGTATGACATTCATTTGAACACACAGAATACATGTACCACTTCGATGAATGATTTCGCTTATGATTATGAGAGAGCTAGAATCTAAAGCAGGCTTTGATATACTGTATGAATGCATTTGTACATATGTACATGTATGCTTATTTAACAAACCCTTAAATACTGATTTGGATTTGATTTCACAACTAAGTTAAATTAGGTTGGGAGATTATAAATCAGCTTAATTTTTACAGATTCTCTTTGCAACGCACTCAGCTTCACATGGAAAACAACAAAACTCTAGATAAAACCTCTAGATATAAGATAGATGTATTTTAAATACTATCAATCAAAAATACAAAAGCCTGCTGCTTGTAAATGAAATCATTTCATTTTCTCGTTATTAAATGAAAGATAGAAGGGAAAAAGCTCTAGATTAATTTTACCTATTTGAAAATTTTTAAAAAGTTTTCAAACAGTTAAGAAATGTTATTTTATATTGTCGATTTTTTTTTTCTGGTCTAATGATGAAAATCCGAGTATACTATATATTTCAGTAAAATATTATAATGAGATTATATGGAATACGATTGATTGTATTCAGGTTTCACGGTCAAATTTTGATTCAACTGTGAACGTATTGATATTTATAATTAGCCATATCATATTGTTTCGGACACGACTTGAACAAACTAGATTTCACTCATCAGCACTACGATGCAAATAAAATTTAATTTGCAGTTTGTTTTCAAAAGACATGCGATATTTGAAAACAAGTAAACGTCGGTTGAAGTTGTTACGTGTCGAGGAGTTTTTTGATTCAGTGTATAGATAGCAGTCTAAATTTTTAAGAACATACAAGTATAAAATTGTATATATAATTTCTTTTTTGGAATACCAGAACGTCTTAAATAGGAATATCTTAACTATTATTATTTTAGGTTTTATTTTGAAATAATCGTAATGATTTATAAATTTTGAATGAGGGACGTTTTTTATATCCCTGTATTTGAATCTACTAGTATATTGAACATTGAACGGTTGTGATTATACTTTATCTGTGTTATATATGATACTGCTTCGTGAAAAAATTAGAAAATCGGATGTACATGGAAATGCCGCTATAAAGGCTTAAGAAATTTAAAATGTTATAAAAATAATAGCCATGCACACTGTCGCAGAATATAAAATGAGTAACGATCTAGAAGTCGTTAAAAATTACATGTGAAAAATTCTTTATATAGTATAATGGAAAAACAGTACTTAATTGTATTTTGTAATAAACTCATTCTTCAGTACTGAGTTCAGATTTGTGACCAAAGGGTTATTTTTCAAAAATAATCAATTTCATAATTTATGTATATTAATTGAGTCAGTACCCTTCCTGCTTCTGAAAAAAATTGATGGGAAGATAATCTGAAGTCTTAAAGAGGAGATAGGTGTCCAAATGTACAAGCATGTCTGAGATTTTATGTACGTAACTTGGTGTCCACGGTGACTGTTTTTTAAATCAATAAGCTATTCTTTTCTGGTGAATCCTTTTTGAAGTATATAAACACTAGTTTGCATGTTTTATTGCATGTCTTATTTCTACCTTATACCATTATAATTAGAAAATATATCCAAGATTACCAATGGACACCGTTACTTACATAAGTACTAAACAAGTAACATGTTACTAGAATTTAACAAGTTGTTAAAATATGAAAATAATGTAATCAAAAAGGTATGATGAAATCATGTTTAATTTTATATTAAATGGAATTTATTTAAAAAGTCACAATTTTTATTTCTAGTTTCAAAAAAGGAGAAATTATGTAAGTAACATGGACACCTAACTCTGAATCAGGCTTTCAAAACGAACAAAAAAAATAACAATACAATCGAACACTTGTCTTTAATACTTTTAATATTTCATTTCAAGGCTTAATAATAGACTAGCTTTCAAAGAGAATAAATGCAGACAAGTAAATTGTCAGATGGATTGCTAAATATCCTAGGTCTTCTATTTTGAGTCTTGGATCTTTGTGTCATTGTTACGAACATAATTCAGTCATTTCTTGTAAATCTGAAAGAAAAAAATATATAAAAAACAAAATACAACATGATGTAATCAACACATATGCTGTTTAATTATATTTATTATATATCCTTGATAAAACCAGAAAGAAGGCAATTAAAGTACAAATTATGTCATTACTTCAAGTTTTCGTGTCTCTGTTATGAACGTAATTGCGTAAATGATATGGCAATATTAAAACAAATATTCAAAAAGTATTCATCCTTTGATAAGAGCAGAACAAAACTAACAAATATAGAATAAAATATAGTACAATATAACTTTATTATTAATAGATTATACAAATAATGCAAAAACACATGTTCGTAACAAAAGACGCGAATCAAAAGTCAAATGTTAAACCAAAAGTACTCGACTCGGACAGATTTATGCATTTTGTATGGTCATAAGTGACATATTTCAGTTTCTGATTAATGGATACATGGTATAAAGATACAATGACTGTATTTATGTATTAAAAATTCACTAAAATTGATACAATATGAAAATACATACCGAATCTATTATGTACGTAACTTCTGTCTTCCACGTGGACACAATGAGCATCGCCATGTTTTTTTTGCAGACAGCTGCGCAACCTTTCTACTTTCGTTTTCAATTTATAATTATACCACTGCTACGGACTTCCTGAGCCAAACTTATGATTCATTGGCTGTTATTTTAGCAATCGTACTGAAAGCTATTATGTTCGTAACGGTCAAGACACCAAACATTTTACAATCAGAGATCATTTTAAAATTACAAAAAGAACGGAGTTATGTTCATGAAGCCTATTGTTAAAAAAAATTTATCACACATACTCATTAATTAAACACAGAAATTGAACTTGACAAATTATTTAATGTTTGTAGAGAGGTGTTAAAAAGTTCAATGCATATGGACACCATGCGTTACGAACATAAACCACAAATTTTTAAGTTCAGAAAAAAATAATTCGGATAATTTTAGCATGTTTGACAAAATAAATATATTATTTCATTTATATGCTAAGATAATGTACACATATATCATGCCAAA